AGTCACATCTTTTATAATGTTCTGTTTTTTCTAAGGTTATTTTGTTTTTTATTTCCTCACTTGAATGAGTACAGTATTACTTCTCTGCTGTGCAAGATTGGAAATCTATTCATTTTTGTATATATGGCACATCCTTGCTAGCTAAAGTCAAATACATCTGAAAATACTTCTCTAATACAGAATGCCCCAATTCCCATAAATTCTAGCCTATAATTTTAAGAACTGTTTTATTCTTTGATCTCATGTTGATCAAACTGCATGGTAGATAATTTTGTCCTGTATTTGCTACTTTTATTTTTGCTAAAAAGATAAAGATATAAAGTTCTGTTGACTTCTGAAGGACTAAGCTTTTTCCTTTTGAAAAATATTATACCTATAGGATAACAACCCAGGACAAAATGTATTTAGTGTTTCTACTATTTGGGGTAGCACTAGATTCTGCAACCAATGGGCATTTATACATGTGCTCTGGGAGTTGAACAAGCTTTAGTTAAAGTGCCCCCGCCACCACTTTTCAGCATGGAAATGCTGATACATGTGATGCAGGACTCTGCTGGAGTGCAATATTACCGATGCATTGTAACTACAGCACGTCTAGAGCAGTCTCAATGCGCATGTATAGGTGCCCGATACCTCTAAATTTTGGGGGATTATTCAGAAGATAGGTGTTGACTGATGTGCACAGAAATCACCCTATACATGACTGCCACTCCAGTTGCTATCTCTTTTTATGTAGTGGGTAAATGTAGCTTTACTGAGACAGGCTGCACTGCACTTCTTTACTGTGTTTGTCTATCTTCAATATTCATACAGCAAAGATTTGATCCAAAGCCCACCCTAGCAAGTGGAAGAATTCCTATTAATTTCAGCAGGCTTTGGATTAGGTCCTATCTCAAGATGAAAAAAAAACCTGGGCAATATTTTCTGTTTTATATTAACAGTTCTTTAGAGCTGGTAGACTGTCTCCACTTCCACAGGGAAATTGTTGCTACATACTCCTTTGCTGGTCATCCTAATTGATCAACTGTAGAAATGCACTTCATGCCAATAAAAACCTCTGGGTCTGATTATTGTTTTAAACCAGTTTTACAGAATGTGAGACCATTTATTAGGCAGTTAGTCCTGATATACACTGGTGAAAGGAAGAGGAAATATATTATCCAGCATAGTCAAGAACCTACAGGTAAAGATTAGGCAAGAGACTTCATTTAGGTACGTCTTTAATTCCTGTTTTGTTCAAGTCAGTCTAACTACTTATTTGGCTGCAATGATTACATTAGCTTGCATGCTTAAAACCTTAACAAGACTGTATTAGCTGAATCAGCATTCCCAATCTCAAGAGGCTGCTCTTCAGTTATGCATCCAAAGGAAAAACTTACTGCATGGATTATGCAGCACTAAAAAGGCTAATGCTTCAGATATTCATGCTCATAGACTTGCCTTAGTGCCTTGGGGAAACCCTATCTTCCAACAAAGAATATAAATCAGGGGTGAGCAAAATGTGGCCCGGGGGCCAGATGTGGCCCGCCAGGCCATTCTATCTGGCCCACAGGGCCCCTAAAACATTTAGAAAATTAATATTTATCTGCCCCTGGGTGCCTATCGTGCAGCCCTCGATGGCTTGCCAAAACTCAGTAAGCTGCCCTCTGCCCAAAATAATTGCCCACCCCGATATAAATCAATACATTTGACTGTATTGCCAAAGCTGATATACAGTAAATACTGGGTCTAGTTTGTTCTAGGTATATTTTTTAAGTGAATTTAACCGCTTCTGTGTGTGCATTCATATACCTATACAGTCACTTTGTTTAAAAGAGCCCTGAAAAATAGTAAGGCTGAAATTGTCTTTGACCCATTTTTCAGATTTTAAGGGGTTTCTGTTTGTTGGCAACTTACTCTAAGAAGTTGCTGCTTGCTACTATCAAATTGTAAAGTCAAGAAAGGGATTTGATAGAATGTTACTGATGCACGGAAACTCCTGAAATTTTAGCACAAACTCAGCTAAACTACTGCTTTTTCCTTAACACACTAGTCACTCTAAGGCCTACTTGAATACTACTTCCTAACTACTCTGGCCTTGCCTACACCCCATAGTTGTGGCAGCAAAACTATGCATTCACACTTAGAGCTCCTTTGTGGTAGCAGAATCTATTCTTTCTGTCAGCAGAGAAATAACAGCTTTGTGAGCAAAGGCTTCTGCCACCAGCCAGCAGCCAATACAAGGTCTGAGTAGATGCATCAAACCTTCTACCAGTGGCCACAGCAATGGTGTCTAATGGTGCACTGAGCAACCTGCTAACACTGTTACTATTGTGATGCCAGCATGAGCTGTGCAGAGCTGTTAGAAGTTGCTTATGTGGTCTGGTGGGCTGTTGTCTGTCTGCACAAATACTGTGTAGAGAACCCTTCAAAGTGGTTTACTGATCTCAGATTTGACCTTCACTGTTTCTTCTTTCTTTGACCTCTTAGCATCTGCATAAATTGGGGGTAGCTACAGAATGAAGGAAAAGTATGTTGAATAGATAGCTGGAGTGGAGGATGCTCAGACAACATGTGGCTTCCAAAGATGAATGGAGCCTTTTAGATCCTAGACTGGAGACTGTGGATCACAAAGCACACCCATTGATCAGAAAGCTGGGGGTTGATGGTCCCAGTCTGGGGAGTATGGGGTAGAAGGGCTTGGGAATACAAAGAAAATAAGAGGACAGGGGACTTAAACTATGGACACAGTTGTGTCTGGAGACAGAGAAGCATCAGGAATGGGGATGATCTGAAGAGATAAGGAGGAAATGAGGATGTCTCATATATGTCTGGTGTCAGGGTGTAACTCCTTGTAGCTTACCTATTTGTTACAATACAACCCAGCTTTCTGTACTCAATGTCTTCTGCCCCAGTGTGAGCCATCCAGCTACACAGCTATCTATATCCACCAAGTAGATTCTGAACTGCTGATAATCAAGGATCCTGGTTTTCTCTGATTTAAAAAAATCCCCAATTTTCAGTTAAAAAAAAAGTAACCCCAAATCCACATTTTTCCATGATTTAAATGAAACACCACGACTAGATATAGTGATGTTTCATTTTAATCACAGAAAAATGTGGATTTGGGGTTACTTATTTTTAACTGAAAATTTGGGGGGGGGGGGG